TATCATGGGGTTTTCTTGGCAAGTTTCTTCAGAGGGGGTTTGCCTTTGGCTTCACCTGAGGCTGAGAAAGTGTGACTTGCCTAAATTCACCTAGTGGGCTTCATAGCCAAACTGGGATTCGAACCCTGGTCTCCAGAGTCATAGTCCATTCCTCAAACCGCTATGCCACGCTGGCTCATGATGGAACTATATGGAGTACTATGGAACTGTTTTCCAGTTCATGATCAGAAGCATAGATCAGTACAGGAATAGGCAACTTTGGGAAAAGAGTTAGGGATTTCAGGCACAGAGTTTCCATGGCCATCGGATTTCACTACATCTTTTGTCTTCTTTTCCAGTGGCTTTTAATATGTCCCAGTTTCTCTCTCCTCCTCCCTCTTTACCCTTTCATCCTCAGCTTACTTTAATTGCTGAAAACTGAGTTCAAAGTGCGAAAGATGTTTTGCACTTCTTGCCCTTCCCTGCAGGCTCAGGCAAAAGCAAACTCCTGCATACCTTTCTTCTTTTTACCAACTTGATTAGATTCTGAGGCTACTTGGCCAGGCATCTCCTGTCTTCTTCCCCAGGGATAAGGCTTACAATCGCAGTATCCATCTTGAGAGTCCGGTGATGGACTGAGCTGGGGTTGTGACAGCAGAAGCCCCCCTTTCCCTCGGGGAAAATGCCCTTCTAAGTCCAACAGTGGCTATACCCCTTTCTTGAATTGTTTCAGGAGGAAGGGTGAAGAGAAGAGAAAGGGGTGTATGTGTCCCTTGCCCACCCTGGTTTGGCAAAATTTATTCTAAATCCCTTTTGTTTCCTTGCAAATATGATAAAAAATAAAATAAAATAAACGACCAGCATAAAACATATGATGGTCCAGGCAGGCAAGTTGCCAGCCTCTGCCGCACCCACATCTGGCACAGAATCAGAGAATACGGGAGATCTTGCCCTTTGAAAGCTCGGAAGAGTTGTTTTTTTGGCACTACAGCTCACAGAAGCCTCTATTAGGATGACCAAGCCAAAAAGCAAATTTTCCAAGCTCTGCCCAAAGGCAAAGGCACCCTTTCATTAGCCACTGGCGCATTCATTCATAGTCATTCATCCAGATTTCCATGTTGCACAAACAGAGGTTGGAAAGGGGACGTGAGGACGATTCCTGATGGAGTGGCCAGGCAGATAGATGCCTTTTTGGAAACCCAGGAGCCAAGGATGAAGCTGTAGCATTGCAGACACTGTATATCGCCAGCGATAGTGGGATGAATTTTGACATGTGAGCCTTCATCATGAGAATCCCGAGAGAAACACAACCCAAGAGAGTCCCAAAGTCCAGGCATCTGTGTTGATCTATTTATAGATATAGATATAGATATTTAAGAAAGGGCCCTAAAGGCACCAGATCCTACATATTGGATTGCAAAGGAAGTGTCTTTTTTGTGTTGCAAATGGATGCTAAATTTCCTGGACTTTGAGAATCTCCCAGCATCCCCATGGCCAAAAGAAGGAGGTCTGCAAACCTGTAAGTAATACCCCTCCATACCGTCGGAACTGAGAACAGAAACAGCAAAATGCAGGCCTATGACTAACATCTTCAGCTTTTTCCTCCTGTATGGTTTTTAACACCTTGCCAGATGAAGAAGCCAGCGGATCTTCGAAAGCTTGCAGCGTGTATATTGGGCATTTTGGTTGGTCCAATAAAGGTATCACTGTGTGGTGGATTTTTTTTATTGCATGTGCTGTAGGGCATATTTCAGAGGAAAAGCTAGCAAAACCGCCTCTGAGTATTCCTTGCCTAAGAAGTCACAAGTTGACAGACTACATACACACATATGTTTTAAGAAAAAGTAGCAGTGTTTGTCTTTACCAGGAGTAGGTCTTTTGTGAAGCTAATGGTTCTTGCCTGGAGAGATCTTGTAGCACCTTTGAGACTAAGGGAGGGTTGCAGACTGCCAGAAATAGTGCATATTGAGTCCACTTTTAGGGTTAGGGTTAGTGCTAGGGAATCATGGGAATTGTTTGTTTTTTTTCCTGAGATTGAGCCTTCTCTGTCAGAGAGCTCTGGTGCCATAATAAAATACAGTTCCCATGATTCCCTAACCCTAACCCTAACCCTAAAAGTGGACTCAATTTGCACTATTTCTGGCAGTCTGCAACCCCCCTAACTGAAAGAAAGAAGTTGACAGCAAGAGCTTTCCTAGACTTAAGTCTACTTCCTCAGATGCATCTAAGGAAGTAGATTTTAGTCTACGAAAACTCATGCTGCCACTTTCTTTCTTTCCGTGTGTCTCAAAAGTGCTACAAGATCTCTCTACATTCTGAGTCTACTGACATATCTTTGGGTTCTTGCCTAGTCAAAACTCAGCCACCTCCAAATACTTGGATTTCAACAAAGAAAGTTCATAACAATGCATTGGTTTTGGGAAAACTCATTTCCCTCCAGCTACTGGGAGGATCAGTGGCATCTGATGGTGGTGATGCCTCTTTCTTAAGACAGTTCAGAGAATGGAGGGAAGGAGAAAGGTGTTTCTGTCCCCTTGTTGATCAGATCACCCTAGTTGCCCAGGATTATTTATATATACACATAGGCAGATAGCTTGGGCATCCTTCGCCAAAAACAGACCTTTTCTCTTCCTTTGCCCTGGTGACTCAAGAAGCTGATCTACCAAAACACAGATCTTTGAAGGGAGATTTGCAAAACACAAGGTTTACCAAATAAATCCCAATTCCAGAGCCAGTGAGAACCCAATTTGGGACCAAATCTCCACCCCTTGACCTTTATTTCCAAGATTTATAGTTTCTCCTTTCCTGCTCTTTGCAGCCTGTGTATATTCTTGTCCTTGTGGTGATTTTATCACTGTTTATTACCTTGGTGACAACAAACAAGCTACCCCTTTTCCTCCTGCAAAGAGAAATCTTTCCATCAGCATCACCTGTTTTCTGATTAACCTGCAAAATCTAAATGGTTGCATCCAGACAACCAGAACAATAACAACAATTATTAAGGACAGGCCTTTTTCAGTCCCTAAGGGTGTGTCTACACTGTAGAAATAATGCAGTCTAACACCACTTTAAGTATTGCAGCTCCATGCTTACAAAAGAGAGCTGGTGCCTTGCAAAATGACAAACCCCAGGACTCTGTAGGATGGAGCCGTGGCAGTTAATGTGGTGCCAAACTGCATTATTTCTACAGTGTAGATGCACCCTAAGTTAAGGAAAAGAAGCAGGTGGAGGGATCTGACTTTTGCTAATACTTTGTGCCCAAAGAAATGGTGACTACAAAGGTAGTTGCTCGCTGGATCTTGCCCCACTATAGACTGGCGATTTCTGTGTCACTGGGACAGTGAACCCATTCCTGGATTTAATCCAAATTTAATCCATATTTGTTTGCCATGCTCCTCTAAAGTTTATCCTCAAACCCAGTGTGAATTCATTCCTAGCCCCATGGAATCCCATATTTTCCCCATTCCCAGATTTTCCTTAATTCTTCAGCCTCAGAAGTCACTTTCGTTGTTTGGACTGGAAGCACAATGGGAGGTCTCAAGCCAAGACTCTTCCCATGAGAAACAATGATGAATTTTTGCCTGCAGCATGCACACCATACCACAGACCTGTGACTGTTAAAATTGCAGCTGTAAGCCCCTTGAGGCAGAGACTCTGTTCCAGCAGCTACATGGCTAACAGTGTCAGATGAGAAACGGTGCAAATGGTAACAGCACCGCATGCCATTCTTTTTAACTGGAAGCCACCTGGAGTCCCAGTCTTGGAAAAAAGACACAGAGGAGCCATAGTGGTATAGCAGTTTGAGCGTTGAACTATGACTCCGGAGACCAGGTTCAAATCCCTGCTTGGCCATGCAAACCACTTGGTGACCTTGGTCAAGTCACACTCTCTCAGCCTGAGGATGGCAATGGCAACCCACCCACCCCCAAAGAAACTTGCCAAGGAAACCTCTTATGGTAGATTCACCTTAGTGTTGCCAAAAAATAAAAAATGACTTGGAGGCAAACAACAAAGAGAGAGAGAGAGAGAGAG